GTTAACCCCTTAACCCCTTCAGGACCGCTGATGGTTCAGGATCGTCAGCGGTAAAACGTGCGTTTGGACCGCTGACGGTCCTTAACCGTCATGAAAAACGGGCTGCGAGAAGCGATCAAAGATCGCCCCCTGGCGGTATAACGCTGTAACTATCTGCCAGACATCCCAGGCAGATAGTAACAGCCAATTGTGGCATGTGAGCGATCCGCGATCGCTCACAATTGGCTACTGTCAAAGTGGGTGTTACAAAGTCTCACTTTGACAGTGATCTCTGCCCCTCTCTCCTTTGTAGCGTTTTGTGAGGCGAGAGAGACAGAGATTGTGATAGTTTGTTGCAGCAGTGTTCAGTGACCATCAGAAAGTATCAGTATTTTATTAAAAAATCATCTTTTAACCCCATCCCTGCCAAATCTGTTACATCAGTGCATTTGTACTGTCTGTATTTTTTTTCCCTTAAAGGGTTAAATTTGTTTTAAAAATCTGTGTCTTGGTCTGTTTTGGTCTGTCTTAGTCAGTCAGTTTCCTTCCCCCAAATCTCCATTAGATTTTTGTGACAGGAGTTAGTTTAGGGATTGCTGTTTAGTCTGTTTTAGTAAAAAATTAATTTTAAAAAAGTATTAAAAAAAAATTGTGTGTTCGGAATTTGTTTTAATCGTGTGTAAAACATGCAGCGTATGTATAACTTGCATGTATAACTTGCAGGAGGCATATGCCTTCTTCGCGTCAGACTCTGACGCCACTGACACTGCGTCAGATTTTGACCTAGGTCAGTTTTCTGACACATCTAGTCAAGACGACATGTCATCTGTGTGTGAGCCGGCTGAAGAAAGAAGCTGTACTTCCTCTGCTATGCTGAATGTGGAGAGAACTGGGTACCTCCACAGTTAGCCAAGCCCAACGTCCCCCTTTTAGTGCCAACGCAGGCATTAATGTTAATGTGGATGGCTTCTCCCCAATGCAGTATGTAGAACTATTTTTAGGGGATACCATCTAGGAGGAGATTGCTTCCCAGACTAACTTGTATGCTACCCAATTTATTGATAACAATCCAGGTAGCTATACAGTCAGGGAGCATGACTGGCATCCCACAGATGTCCCAGAGCCAGGGGCGGACTGACCACTCGGGCACTTCGGTCGTGGAGCGAGGGCCCGAGGCAGTCAGGGGCCCGGCCGCACAACCATGCTCCAGCTGGAGAGATCAGAGATCTCTCCAACTGGAACGGCAAAAAAAAAATAAAAAAAAAAATAATTTCCTTTAATGGGTTGCTGGGGCCCCTGATGCAGCGGGCCCCAGCAACCACCACAACCCCTCCCTCCCATGAGACCTGGCAGCTTCTCCTTCTCGCGCGGTGCTCTGTGTGATGGGAGAGGCGGGGCCAGGAAGTGACATCACTTCCTGTGTACTCCTCTCACACAGAGCCCAGCGAGGGGAAGGAGCAGCAGCCTGGGAGAACAGAAGAGGAAGCAGATAGACAGGTAGGCTCTAGTCACACCTGCCCCCCCTCACTGATCACCCCCACTGTCTGTCCTCCCCCCCCACTTTGTCACCAATCCCCCCCACTGTCTCAATCATCCCCCACTGTCACTAATCACCCCCACTGTCGCTGTCACCTCCCCCCCACTGTCACTTCTAATCCCACCCCCCCCAATGTCACTAATCACCCTCCCCCCACTGTCTTATCACCCTCCCCCCACTGTCACTAATCACCCCAATGTCACTAATCCACCCCCCCACTGTCACTAATCACCCCTCCCCCACTGTCACTAATCACCCTCCCCCCACTGTCACTGTCACCTCCCCACTGTCACTAATCACCCCCCCCACTGTCACTAATCACCCTCCCCCCACTGTCACTAATCACCTCCCCCACTGTCACTAATCACCCTCCCCCACTGTCACTAATCACCCCATCCTCACTGTCATAATCACCCCCCCCTCACTGTAAACTGTCACCCCCCCCCTCACTGTAAGCTAGTCACCCCCCCACTGTCACTAGTCACCCCCCTCACTGTGTCGCTAGGCACCCCCCTCACTGTGTCGCTAGGCACCCCCCCTCACTCTGTCACTAGTCACCCCCTTCCTCTGTCACTGATCATCCCCTCCCTCACTCTGTCACTAGTCACCCACTCACTCTAGTGACAGAATGAGGGAGAGGGTGACTATGACAGAGGGAGGGGGTGACTGGTGACAGAGTGAAGGAGGGGATGACTAGTGACAGAGGGAGGGATGGGGTGACTAGTGACAGAGTGCGGGAGGGGGTGACTAGTGACAGAGTGCGGGAGGGGGTGACTAGTGACAGAGGGAGGGATGAGGTGACTAGTGACCATCACCCCCTCCCTCATTCTGTCACTAGTCACACCCTCCCTCACTAGTCACCCTCCCCTGTCACTAGTCACCCCTCCCTCACTCTGTCACTAATCACTACCTCACTCTGTCACTAGTCACCCTCTCCCTCACTCTGTCACTAGAGTGAGGGAATGACTGGTGACAGAGTGAGGGAAGGGGTGACTAGTGGCAGAGTGAGGGAAGGAAGGGGTGACTGTTGACAGAGTGAGCGGATGACTGGTGACAAAGGGAGGGGATGACTGGTGACTGAGTGAGGGAGGGGGTGACTAGTAACAGAGTAAGGGACGGAGGGGGTGACTAGTGACAGAAGGAGGGAGGGTGTAGTGACAGAGGGAGGTGGTGACTAGTGACAGAGTGAGGGAGGTGGTGACTAGTGCCAGTCAAGTCACCACCTCCCTCACTCTGTCACTAGTCACCCCCTCACTCCCTCACTCTGTCACTAGTCACCCCCTCACTCTAGTGACAGAGTGAGGGAGGGGGTGACTAGTGACAGAGTGTGGGAGGGAAGTGGTGACTAGTGACAGAGTTAGGGAGGGAAGGGGTGACTAGTGACAGAGTGAGGAAGGGGGTGACTAGTGACAGAGGGAGGGGTGACTAGGGACAGAGTGACAGTCACCACCTCCCTCACTCTGTCACCAGTCATCCCCTCTAGTGACAGAGTGAGGGAGGGGGTGACTAGTGACACAGAGAGGGAGGGGGTGACTAGGGACAGAGGGAGGAGTGACTAGGGACAGAGTAAGGGAGGTGGTGACTAGTGACTAATGACAGTCACCACCTCCTTCACTCTGTCACTAGTCACCCCCTCTCTCACTCTGTCATTGTGTCACCCCCTCCCTCTCTCTGTCACTAGTCCCACCCTCCCTCACTCTGTCACTAAAGTGAGGGGGTGACTGGTGACCGAGTGAGGGGTTGACTGGTAACTGAGTGAGGGAGGGGGTGACTAGTGACAGAAGGAGGGAAGGAGTAGTGACAGAGGGAGGTGGTGACTAGTGACAGTCACCACCTCCCTCACTCTGTCACTGTCACCCCCTCCCTCTGTCACTAGTCACCCACTCCCTCCCTCCCTCTGTCACTGGTCACCCACTCCCTCCCTCTGTCACCAGTCATCCCCTCACTCTGTCACTAGTAACCCCTTCCTTCCCTCACTCTGTCACTAGTCACCCCTTCCTTCCCTCACTCTGCCACTAGTCACCCCCTCACTCTAGTGACAGAGTTAGGGAGGGAAGGGGTGACTAGTGACAGTGAGGAAGGGGGTGACTAGGGACAGAGTGAGGGAGGTGGTGACTAGTGACAGTCACCACCTCCCTCACTCTGTCACTGTCACCCCCTCCCTCTGTCACTAGTCACCCACTCCATCCCTCCCTCTGTCACTAGTCACCCACTCCCTCCCTCCCTCTGTCACCAGTCATCCCCTCACTCTGTCACTAGTAACCCCTTCCTTCCCTCACTCTGCCACTAGTCACCCTTTCCCTCACTCTGTCACCTGTCACCCCCTCACTCTGTCACTAGTCACCCCCTCACTCTAGTGACAGAGTGAGGGAGGGTGTGACTAGTGACAGTGAGGAAGGGTGTGACTAGTGACAGTGAGGGAGGGTGTGATTAGTGACAGAGTGAGAGAGGGTGTGACTAGTGACAGAGAGAGGGTGGGGTGACTAGTGACAGAGAGAGGGAGGGGGTGACTAGTGACAGAGTGAGGGAGGGAAGGGGTGACTAGTGACAGAGTGAGGGAGGTGGTGATTAGTGACAGAGGGAAGGATGGGGTGACTAGTGACAGTCACCACCTCCTTCACTCTGTCACTAGTCACCCACTCCCTCCCTTACTCTGTCACTAGTCACCCCCTCTCTCACTATGTCACTAGTCACCCCCTCTATCACTCTGTCACCAGTCATTCCCTCACTCTGTCACCAGTCATCCCTTCCTTCCCTCACTCTACCACTAGTCATCCCTTCCCTCACTCTGTCACCAGTCATCCCCTCACTCTGTCACCAGTCACCCCTTCCTTCACAGTGACAGAGGGAGGAAGAGAGAGAGAGAGATAGTGACTAGTGACAGAAGAGAGATGGGGTGACTAGTGACTTGAAGTGAGGAAGAGGGTGACACTAGGGACATAGGGGGTGATTAGTGACAGAGTGAGTGAGGGGGTGACTAGTGACAGAGTGAGGGAGCGGGTGACACAGTGACAGAGTTAGGGAGGGAGTGACTAGTGACAGAGAGAGGGATGGGGACTAGTGACAGTCACCCCCTCCCTCACTCTGTCACTAGTCACTACCTCCCTCTGTCACTAGTCACTACCTCCCTCTGTCACTAGTCACTCCCTCACTCTGTCACCATTCATCCCCTCACTCTGTCACCAGTCATCCCCTCACTCTGTCACTAGTCACCTCTTCCCTCCCTCACTTTGCCACTAGTCACCTCTTCCCTCCCTCACTCTGCCACTAGTCACTGTAACGGACCGTTTCTCTCACAAGGGGATAAAATCCGTTTAGGCGATAATCCCCTTTCCCATAGACCAGCAGCTACTGCAATCACCAACCTCCCGAACTCCAAACTGTACGAATTCCCAACTCACGAACAAGAAATACACGAACTCTGGAAGCAGCCGAACAGGAAAAGCAATACGAACGGCTTACACTCCTGGCAGTCAGCACACAATCCAATTCCCCCAATAACGAGACGACACTTCGTTTTGAGGGTTAAGCAGAATCTCCAGATTTATTCACACAACCTCCTTTTAAGACATTCTCCCATGCAAGGGAGGGATCCACAACAATTAGTACCCCAGCCAATAATGTACCAGTTACCTCCCACACATCTCCTCCCCTTAGTGTGACACATAATCCCATTAGTACAGACACAAATTCCCTGGGATACTGGATGTACCCCTAAACATAGGAATACCCCTTTAAATGTTACATCCCCTGGTAGCCCTGATCTGGGTGAGACACATATCCAAAAATCACCCAGATCGGACCCGGGGTTCAGGAATTATAAAGGGTTAAAGTTTTGACCGACTGCATGGCAAAAGTTTTCGAAAATAGTTCCATGTATTTTGGCCCTGCAGTCGGTCACAGAAAAGGGAATCAAACACACGAATTGCCTGTGTTACAGAGCTTGGGGAGGATTCGTATGAATCCCCCTGTTCGTGGGATCCTTTCTACCGAACGGCGGGCCGTTCGGTAGTTTCTGCACGAATTGCTGGAAGTCTGGAGGTCTCAGCGGTGTTTGCTTAGTCAAGTGTCCGATTTTAGTTCCAGACACTCGACGGCCAAACACCGCTGTTCGGGAGTTTAAGATGGCCGCCGCCACGTGTTCGTTTCCCGAATGGCGGCCACCCAGAGGACACAACACACATTACACATATTGCCAATCACCCGTTTGCAACATTGTTGCAAACGGTAATTGGAGGCACACTTACTCCCGGGTGGTCTGGTTGTTCGGTAGTTTCACCCAATATAATGAATGAAGTGATTCTACCGAACAATCAGGGGAATGCTGCATTCACATCACACTTTATACTGAACACATAATATTAAATACAGCCTGAATGCAATTTGCTACATAGTCTTAAAAAGGCATTATTCCTAACAGGCAGAATATGTTCACGGATGGCCCTTAAAGGGCCAGTAGCAGCAATATAAGAAGGTCACATGCCCAAAGATTGCATACAAAAGTACGAATTCACAAGGGGGCCATAGTCAGATGGCAGGAGGCTGGCAACCAGGCTTCTCCAGTGCATAGTGGCGAGGTTGGTTTCGCCACACTTCTCCCCTTTACCAATCAGACTAACAGGGTATCTGACCTCCTGCCGGTCAGTGCCCTTGTTAGTCCAGCAGCCCACCCACAAAACATAATCAGTAATACAGCCCACCCACCATAACTGGCTACTACACCTGGGTAGCGGAGAACTTTGTCCGTGTCCAGGTGCCTCACCATGGCTGTGTGGGTGACTGGTCAGCGTACTGGGTGGGTTGCTGAGTGGGCAGAGACCAGCGGTACTCTGTCCCGGTGCCAGCACTACCATGGGAGCAGTCTGGTTGGAGCCTGGTTGCTGGAGGAGAAGACAGACTGTCTCCCCTTTGCCTAAACAGTCCTGCTGCTGGGTGACAGGACCGACTGTCCCTACCCCCGGTGGTGCATGTGCAGCGACTACGGTCCCATCTGCACTGTTGTGGAGATTACTGTCTCCCCTTGGTGGGCTAAGCTGCCGCTGGGGAGAGGGTGTAACAAGCTCCTCTCCCATACATACTTTCAGCCGCTGGGGAGAGGGGATAACAAGCTCCTCTCCCTGACACTCTCTCTGCTGTTGAAGGGGGAGACCGACTGTCTCCCCTTTCAATAATTCGTCCTGTTGTTGGGGAGAGATGATAACTGGTTCCTCTCCCTGGAACACTCTCTGCTGTTGGAGAGGGGGACTAACTGTCTCCCCTTTTAATATATTGTCCTGCTGCTGGGGAGCGAGACCGACTGTCTCCGCTTCCTGCAGGACACACTGCCGCTGGGGAGGAAGGACGGCACCTTCGGCTCCCTGGGGTACACACTGCCGCTGGGGAGGAAGGACGGCACCTTCTGCTCCCTGGGGTACACACTGCCGCTGGGGAGGAAGGACGGCACCTTCAGCTCCCTGGGTTACACACTGCCGCTGGGGAGGAAGTACTGTACCTTCAGCTCCCTGGGACACACACTGCTGCTGGGGAGGAAGGACTGCACCTTCAGCTCCCTGGGATACACACTGCCGCTGGGGAGGAAGGACTGCACCTTCTGCTCCCTGGGACACACACTGCCGCTGGGGAGGAAGGACGGCACCTTCTGCTCCCTGGGATACACACTGCCGCTGGGGAGGAAGGGCGGTACCTTCAGCTCCCTGGGATACACACTGCCGCTGGGGAGGAAGGACGGTACCTTCAGCTCCCTGGGATACACACTGCCGCTGGGGAGGAAGGACGGCACCTTCTGCTCCCTGGGACACACACTGCCGCTGGGGAGGAAGGACGGCACCTTCTGCTCCCTGGGACACACACTGCCGCTGGGGAGGAAGGACTGCACCTTCTGCTCCCTGGGGTACACACTGCCGCTGGGGAGGAAGGACGGCACCTTCAGCTCCCTGGGACACACACTGCCGCTGGGGAGGAAGGACGGCACCTTCTGCTCCCTGGGGTACCCCTATGAGTCCCCGTAACGCACTCTGCCTCCGGATAGGGCGGCTGATACCTTTGGCTGGATCTGCCATGAACTCCAGGTACTCGTCTACCTGGCTCCTTACGAACTGCACGTATTTCTCCGGGGGGTTGGGTCCAAAGAAAGCCAGCCGCATAGCAAACTCTCTGTCATACTGCTCCTGAGTGTAGCTAGGTGCCATGCTTGCGCTGCTGAAGTTGGCTCTTTTGTTGATAGGGTCGCTGTACGTGTACTGGCGTTGCCCTCACTTTGTAATCCAAGGAATGGTGTTGCCCTGTAGCTGTCTTTCTGGTTGTAGGAACGATCCCGCCGCTTGCCACCAATTGTAACGGACCGTTTCTCTCACAAGGGGATAAAATCGGTTTAGGCGATAATCCCCTTTCCATAGACCAGCAGCTACTGCAATCACCAACCTCCCGAACTCCAAACTGTACGAATCCCCAACTCACGAACAAGAAATACACGAACTCTGGAAGCAGCCGAACAGGAAAAGCAATACGAACAGCTTACACTCCTGGCAGTCAGCACACAATCCAATTCCCCCAATAACAAGACGACACTTCGTTTTGAGGGTTAAGCAGAATCTCCAGATTTATTCACACAGCCTCCTTTTAAGACATTCTCCCATGCAAGGGAGGGATCCACAACAATTAGTACCCCAGCCAATAATGTACCAGTTACCTCCCACACCTCTCCTCCCCTTAGTGTGACACATAATCCCATTAGTACAGACACAAATTCCCTGGGATACTGGATGTACCCCTAAACATAGGAATACCCCTTTAAATGTTACATCCCCTGGTAACCCTGATCTGGGTGAGACACATATCCAAAAATCACCCAGATCGGACCAGGGGTTCAGGAATTAGAAAAGGTTAAAGTTTTGACCGACTGCATGGCAAAAGTATCCGAAAATAGTTCCATGTACTTTGGCCCTGCAGTCGGTCACAGAAAAGGGAATCAAACACACGAATGGCCTGTGCTACAGAGCCTGGGGAGGATTCGTATGAATCCCCCTGTTCGTGGGATCCTTTCTACCGAACGGCGGGCCGTTCGGTAGTTTCTGCACGAATTGCTGGAAGTCTGGAGGTCTCAGCGGTGTTTGCTTAGTCAAGTGTCCGATTTTAGTTCCAGACACTCGACGGCAAAACACCGCTGTTCGGGAGTTTAAGATGGCCGCCGCCACGTGTTCGTTTCCCGAATGGCGGCCACCCAGAGGACACACCACACATTACACATATTGCCAATTACCCATTTGCAACATTGTTGCAAACGGTAATTGGAGGCACACTTACTCCCGGGTGGTCTGGTTGTTCGGTAGTTTCACCCAATATAATGAATGAAGTGATTCTACCGAACAATCAGGGGAATGCTGCATTCACATCACACTTTATACCGAACACATAATATTAAATACAGCCTGAATGCAATTTGCTACATAGTCTTAAAAAGGCATTATTCCTAACAGGCAGAATATGTTCACGGATGGCCCTTAAAGGGCCAGTAGCAGCAATATAAGAAGGTCCCATGCCCAAAGATTGCATACAAAAGTACGAATTCACAAGGGGGCCATAGTCAGATGGCAGGAGGCTGGCAACCAGGCTTCTCCAGTGCATAGTGGCGAGGTTGGTTTCGCCACAGTCACCCATTCCCTAACTCTGTCACTAGTCACCCCCTCTCCATCCCTCTGTCACTAGTCACCCCCTCTCCATCCCTCTGTCACTAGTCACCCACTCCCTCACTCTGTCACCAGTCACCCCCACTCACTGTGTCTCCCCCTCACTCTGCCACCACTCAACCCCTCCCTCCCTCACTCTGCCACCAGGTACCCCCTCACTCTGCCACCTGTCACAACCTCCCACACTCTTCCACCTGTCACCTTCTCCCTCATACACTCTGTCACCTGTCACATATGCATTCACACAGACACTATATACAAAAAAGCACATGCAGTCATCCCGACATGCACAAGTGCATTCACACAGACTCAAATACAAACATGCATTGATACACAGGTCTTCACAATATACACATCCAAAGGAATGCTGTATTATGAGTTATATTTAACATTTATTTAATGCATGTATATTTGGCCTTCAAAGGGCCTGGGATCTAATTTTGCCCGGGGGCCCCAAAGGCTCTCAGTCCGCCCCTGCCCAGAGCTTAAAAAATTCTGGGCTCTTACAATGCTCATGGGGATTATAAAGAAGCCATTGATTCGATCATAATGGAGCACCAACCCAATAATGTCTAG